AGAATAAGTTTATTATTTAAATACCACTTTCCACTGATTTTGCAATAGCTGAGATTAGCTGTTATATGATGAAATTGGCAGTTCATTGGCAAACCATTGAAAAACACACGTAGTAAACTTTGGCTTGTTAACATTCAGCAAATCAAATGTAGCCGAAATAGCTGTGAGTAATTGCTCATCTCACACCGAGGGTTTAAAGACTGTCTGAGTAGGGGGATTTTTTGGGTTGGTATTGACAAATGAATGCTGCTTTTTTCCAGGCACTAACTTTTTGCTCAGCCAGCATGGACTCTGGCACTTCAGCTGACATTTATTTTGGCATGTATTATCAGCATCAGTGTTTTTCTCAGTGTCATCCGCACTGTCTTGCTAAGCAATTTGTTAGGTTTTTGTGTCTCCCCATATATCCTATGCAATTTTTTATTCTGCAGCATTTAGGAACCTCCTTCGCAGTCCTGTCAAACTCAACCCCACCTAGCACTGGGCACCTTTTCTTAATTGCTAAACAGGGGGCTGGCACGCTGGAGCTGTGCCACCTCCTGCTTACAGCTGCAGTGACTTCTGTTGGAGACTGCCCAGGTGGGGTTTAATTGGCTTCGGTGACAAGAAATCCAGCTCTGGACTCTGTCGCCTAGCACGGTTGTTTAACGCACTCCAATGTTTGCCTGTGGCCTTTAAATGCCTCCCAGGTTTCTTGACAATTCATGCATTTGTGACTGAAAAAATAACCGCCGTACTCACTGGAGAGGAAGGCGTTGACTGCCAGCTCCTTTTCGCAGTGGCAGTACGTGGGTTATGGTCACTTCTAGCTAAGAGTGATTTCCCATAATGAAGCATTAAACTTTTCACACATGGCCGAACCTCTACTTCTGGTTGAGCGTATTGAAGTGAAGTTTTATTAGCATCTGGGATGCATAAAGCAGGGGTCTCTAGTTTGGACCGTGCTGTTGGAAGAGCATTCTGTCAACAGCCTCCTTGGAGACACCGCTTACTTTTGTGCTTTAATATGTCCCAGGACTTAGGGTCGCTCTAATTAACCCCTTCAGTTTCTCAAACTCCCCCTTTATACTGAACGTGAACACTGGCAGATTTGGGTATGAACGTGTAGGTTTGGGTAATTAGATTAAACTCAAATTTTCCCCATAGCCACTAATCCAAGAGTAGTGGGTTTTGTGCCCCATCTTTTTCCTGCTAGGGTGAGTGTGTTGCTCATGGGCGTGATGTATCTGTGATATGCAGCTAAGTTAGTTTTCTTTTCAGACCTGTTATCTCAGTTTAGCAGCATTTGCATCTTTGTTGGTTTAACTTTAAGCCCTGGCTTTCTACTGCTGAAAGCTTACGGTTGTACGCTTCTAATATTGTCCCACTGTAGATCTTAGAGTATGTTTGTGCTCGGGCGATTGACACGACCCAAACAGCGCTTCCACATTCCACAGGATTTAGTCAATGTGCACAAATCAGTGTTGTCCTCTTCAAAGAGCAGCCTACATATGCCCAATGCTTGGCATCAAGCCACTGCTTCATGTGGATTCTTCCCTTCCTCAAGGCAACGTTGTGCTGCAATATATCCATTTTTTCAGGCCTACGCAAGAGGAAAGAACGTTGTATTTCCTACACCAAGGAGTGTGCCTCTTTTCAGTGAAGCCAAGAGCAGTGGCCCTCATTTCAGCTCCTCTTTCCATCACTGTCTCGGAGCAAAGAAAATATCTTCAAAGTTCTCCTCTGCTAAATGTGCTCTCTAGAGACAAATATGGATGGATTTCCTTGTTGGCTCACCCGTGGTGTAGGAGAGCTGGGGCTGGTCTAGGTCCTTCCTCCCGTGTCTTTGGAGGGGAGTGACCCGGGTGGTGTTTGTAGTCCTGTTCAGCTCAACATAATTTTCACTTGGTGCATGAACTCCCTGTCTGGGAGGAAAGCTCATCTCCTGGTCTGACCCTCCAACCTCCTAGTGCCTGTGGCTTTTCTTCTGCTTTCTCCTTCTGGCCCCATGTTGGCTTATGCACCTGCCTGTGATTAAAGATTAATGAACACCCCATTGGTTTCCAGATAATCCAAGCTTCATCTGCTGTGATGTTGCTGATTATACCACGTAAGTGGTCCTCTGAGGAAGGAGTGCAGTTATCATCCTTTTCTCTACAGTCAGTACAATCTGGTTGGGTTCTTGCATTGACTTCCAAATATTATGCATCGTCTTGGCTTGTGTGTGTTTCCCCACAGTATGCGTGGTGACTCTGTTGGTTTTTGTGGAGTCTAACTTTAATCTTCCCGTGCCTTTACATCTTGGATCTCTTCTCTGGTGCTACAGTGGAGTCTCAATGAGCTCTGCAGTCCCAGCTTGACACTGGTGACTTCCTTTTCTCAGCGAATTCAAACAGCTTTGTCGAAGGATAATAAAGTGTTTTCCGCTTGCCAGCTTCTGAAGGTTTTTCCCCCAGCCTAACAGCCATCTGGCCTCTCTGTAGCATCTTCAGCAGGTTCCAACATCTCCGTTTTGAATTTTCTGCGTTTTTAGTGACAAGCTGATCCACCGATACTTTTGCTCAAGGGACCCATCCTTTTGTACCTCTGATAAATTGATTCCTCATAGGTAGTGTTTTTATTACATTTCTCTCCTATGCTTTCACGTCTTGATTAGATGAAAAATGTTAAAAACAACAAGTATTTCAAGATGGTCTGTTGTTGGACAGAAAGGCTGCCTTCTGATATCAGTCGTCTTTGTTGCTGGTTCGCATTGTCAGTAGATCCAGAGGGCTGTGCTATTTAAAGTGTCTCCCGTTAGCCACATTTTCTAAAAAGTTACAGCTCATTTTTCCAGTTAGGATATTTTCTTACAGCACTTTATTCCTACACCTTCACCGCACGGTGACTCACCAGGGTAGCACGAGACTCTGAGTAATGCTCCCTGCACAGCTGGCCCGTGTCGACCTTCTCAACGGCGTGATTCATTTTGCGGATGCTGCACGGTGAGACCTGGCTGGCTGACTGCGCAGGAGCCTGCGCTGCTCTCCGTTCTCCTTGAAAATGCTTGGGCTTTGACCCAAGGACAGGGACACAGGAGAGGTGAGCAATGGTGGCTTTGTGCGTGGTTTAGCGGGCTCATCAGCCACTGCAGGGCAGTTTGTCTGTCTGTCTGTCGTTTCTGCCTTCAGCTACAAAACAAACGCGGCGGCAGCAGCTGGTGGGACCGGTTGTTCCCCTCCTCTTCCAAGTTCAGCTCTCCAGCTGGGTGAAGAGGGTGCAGCTCTCTCCTGTGTTTCCATCAAGGTCATCGTCTAAGGATCTCCGTCTTTTGTTTTCCATGCCTTTTTAGTTTGGATAGCTGCTTGTTCCTCTTCAAAGGGGCTATAAAACGATACGACTATTTTAAGTTAATAAAGAAGTCTGATTAGGTTATGCCTAACATGCTGTTACCATTATGAATAGTCATCCAAAGACAGAAAATGAGGGTTCAAGGTCAATATTTTGCAAAAGCAGAATTGTGCATCTCAAGGGCTTAATTTCCAGTGAAAACCAGTGCGGGAAGTTCAGAGTCAGGTAACGTTACATAGCATATAGCTTTGTCCTGAGCAGTTGATCCCAAAGGACACCTTCAGATTGTATGTAACCACAGCGGGATTTTTATCAACAGATGACATGTTTACGCCATCCGTGATCGGTCGGTGTTTGACAGAGCAGTGAGAACTTTGGCTGTAGTGCCCCAGCGCTGGGACTGTGGGTCAAACTGCACTTTTGGAGAAAACCCGTGTGTTGGGCGGGTGACACCGAGTCACAGCTGTGAACGGACACATCCCACCTTTCCCCGTGTGTAACTGTGAATGCATTTGCAGTCTCTTGTCCGGTTGGACCTGGAGCTCCATGCCTTTTCCTTCCCCTTGTGTTTTTTGCTGCAAAGTCTGTGGCTGTGCTGGCGGTCGTAGCCCACGGGCTCTGCCAGCAGCTGCCCTTGCGCTGGCGTGTGGCTTTGAGCAAGTCACCGTGTCACGTTGTCCCTTGCACTATGGCAGCAGCGATGATTCCTGTCCCTTGTGTGTGGTGCCTCTCGGAGAACGGCTGCAAAAGCTGCAGCTCCGTGGCTTGGTGTGTGAAAATTGGGTATGACCAGCAGACTTGTAGTACGTATTGTCGATAAGAAGTGGGGTCTGTAGGACCTGGAGCCCCTCGAAGCCACGCTGCAGGCAGAGCATCTCTGCACGGGCAGGTTCAGGTGGACCTGAGCTCCTGGGTAGACGGGGAGGGCGGCTGCGGCTGGGAGCCCTCGTGGCGTGGGGCCGGAGCGGGCACGTCGGCTGATGAATACTCAGGTTCCTCTTTGAAACTGTGGTACTTCTGATGATGCCTTTATAAGATGGCCTGTACAGCAAACATGCTACGTGCACAATAGTGTTGTAAATAGATTTATGCATCTTTTGGCTCCTGGAGAATCCATTGTGAAGGGGAAGTTCCACAGTTTTTACCAGCAGCTGAACGATCCCGTTCCTAGCTGGGAGTGGCACTGCTCCATCCCTACAGACGCCAGCTCTCAGCCGCGCAAAGTCTCGGCAAGGATCCCACCGAGGTCAGGCCCCCATATGGCTGTTTCCTAATATGGGATGTTTTTTCCAACAAACTCTTTAAATAAGAATAAATGATGCACCGTTTTGACAGATCTGTCTGGTTTGATAAGCTCAATGAGGATACCAAATGCATGAGAAAGCACGAAGGAGATAAACAGCCTGGCTGCGCTCTTGCACCTTTTGCATTTGGGAGTAAATGATTACTGTGTAAGATTTAAAGCACTGGAGACTAAATTTCTCTGGTACTGTCAGATGGCTTGTGTTTAATTGAAGGGCGCAGACACAGCAATGCCTTTCTGAACGCCGCAGGAGTTGATCCAGACTGAGCTACCCCAGCAGCGGAAACGTGCGCCCACGCGCTGCACGGCTGCGCGTACGCTGGTAACGGACAGAGAGGTTTCTGTCTTGTATGTAGTTGATTTTAATATTCTGTGTATTTTTTTCTAGATACTGTTAGAAGTTGCGTGGCAAAGCTGTTCTTCAGCTGTCCCCTGAAGGGCCATTACTGCCTGTACAGTAAATCCAGTTTTACCCTCATCAGCCGGCAGCCTCCGCTGTGGATCCATATCATGTTCCTCTTCCAGCAGGTGTGTGCAATGCAAACCACCGGCACCTCTATATTGTTCACTTTGTACTTGGAAAAAAGTGTTTTAATGGTTAATCTCTCTAAACATGCTTCTAATCTACAGTGCTTTGTGACCCTTGGGATTTCTCAGAAAGTCATTACGGTAGCTTGAAGTGGTTTTGCAGTTTATAAGTTTTTTACATTTCTATTAAACACAATGAATTCGAACTATCTGGAGAGATTACAAAGTCTGGGGATAAAAAAGTGGGGCCAAACCTTATTGTCCTCATTCAGGCAAAACTTCCAGTAAGTCCCTAGTGCCTTGCAAACTAACAGGAGCGTTGCAGTGGATTTGCAGGGGAGCAGAATCGGCCCCGAGGCTGCAGGTGGAGGTTAGAGGTGCAGGACCTGCGGGGATTTTGTACTGCAGAGGTTTTGACTGAGCAGGGTTTGCAAATCTGATCAGTGCTGTTCTCCTACCAACCCTAAAGCTATTTTCTCACGTTTAATACCATTTCCAAACACAGCCCAGTATTCGGACATATGTGGAATTTCCTAATAGGTTTGAAATTGTAGGAGAAACCCCTACATTCACACTTCAGGATGAAACAGATGGCTTTTGTGTTGAAATAGTGAGGTTCAGTTTCTAAACCTGTGTAGAGCCGGTCACTGCAGTTCATGCCACCCTGATGCAACCTTAGAATTACAAAGGATTTGCCTGACATGTCAGACGTGCAAAGCGAGTTATGCAGAGGCAGAGACAGGACCACGAAGGCAATATGAAAGGGGAAAGTGAAGGAGGGGAATTACTCTGTAAATGAAAACCTGAAGAAAGAGGTTGAATTTTAACAGGGCCTAGAGAGAATAAATGAATTGTGTTACAGACATATGAGAGGAAAGCAGATATTGAAAAATATGGACAACAGTACAGAAATGCACAAAAACGAGCAGGGAGAAGCGGAGGGGCGGGCGGCAGAGCTGGCACACCTCGCCCCCACTGCGCAGCCCTCCCCACCGGGTTTAGCACAGTGACTTCTGCTCTACCCGTGGTTCATGGTTTGAATCAGCTGCACTGACAATTTAATCACTGATTCCACCTTTAAACCCTTGTGCCTCGCCTTTTCCTGATGTAATTCCACTGAAAACGCTCTCCCTTTAACCCCTTCCCTGCTCTGAATCCGGCTGTGCCAGTTCCATCTTTGATCAGGACCGCGGAGCCTGGCGCAGCTCCCCGCTCACCGGGACGACGTTCCTTCCCTTCCCCATCCCCAGTGCCCCAGCCTGGGCCCTGCTTCCTGCGGACGCTGCCCCTAAACACCGGTGTGTGTCCCCCCGTTTCCCACAGCTTTCCCTGCCCCAGGCTGGGGAATTGCGTGTGTCCCACCGCGGCTACTCTTTCCGAAGCTTTGCTTTTATTCCTTACGGTCTTGGTCCTTTGCTCCGGCTGTGCCAATGCTACCCCTGCCAAGGAGCCCCCCGCAGAATTTCCTTGCGATGCCGGGGCCAGGCTCGAAGCAGCGCAATTTGGTTTTGTGTCTTTGCAAATGCGTTGTAACCACAGCACTTAATATGCTTTTTTTATGTTTAAAAAAAAATTAAAAAATTCCTCTTTTCCTCTTGTGTTGCACACAGAGCATTTGAGCCTGCTCTGCATCAGGACGATGTTTAATGTCAGATAATTTATGTTTTTCTTTTGTTTGATATCCTAAAGCTTTTAAGTACTAGATATATCACTATTATTAAATTAAATGCAAGGCACTAAATTCAGCCCTGGGATGATGTTATTTAAGCCTGTGAAGTTGTACAAGAGATTAATTTGACATAAAATGTATTTATAGTGTGTTAATAGTAAGTTGAATGAAAGGCTGCTGATAATAATGTAGTTTTCAGCAGATTCACAGACAGACAACTCTCATACAGTTTCTGAAGATTTCAATACTAGTTAGCGTATTTTTATGCCTTTTTTGCCACTTGCTCCATATTCTGTTTGACATTGCATTCTGCAGAAGTAAAAGTGTGAAGAGAGACTTTTTCTCTCAGGTCTCCAGATCAAATTCTTAATTTCATGACCCTGCTTTCTATTTAATTTTAAAAACATTAGTGAACAGTTATGTTTTGAAACTCTTGGACAGAAGTTGTGAAACATCAAATTATTGGTGCCAGGCAGTAGGAAGAGAAGCATATGTCAGTGGAGAGCTGAGAAATGGTCTTACAGTTAAGCGATGACTAACAAAAGGAAAAAAAATGAGAATAAGGAGTGGTTAGAGAGGTTATTTGATAGGCAAGATGCTTAGTTTCACGGGGTCATTCGTTAAAATAATTCTCTAATGCTACGTGATCTATGGTTTAGTTTCCCTCGTCAGGTGGGACAGTGCCATGCCGCTGCGGTAGCACCAGCGAGCCAGGCTCCCTTTCCCGACGTGTCCCTTTCCAGCACCTTCCCTAGAGTTGCTCAGAAATTTGCCAAACGCACGCTAATTGGGCTGCCGTTATCTCGTGCCAGGGGGCTGCCTGGAGCCGACTGCTTCTCCCTTTCGATTTGGACAAAATGATCTGGCTGTTTCTGACAGCTTTTCTGGGAAAAAATGCATTGCCTCGGCCACGATAAAATTCCCGGTGTGAGTTCGACTGAAGCATCTGTGTCAGTCGGATGCCAGACAGTGCGATCAGGATTGCTGGGTTTCTGCTTAGAAAGAGAAGCAGCATTGTCCATCCAGGAAACCTACGTTAAAAGGAGATTGTTCACATTGCGAAATCAAATACTTGACACATGGAAAATCAGATTCGCTTGGCTCCTGCATGCAAACGCATTTTTTAATTGCAAGATCATGCAGTAGATATAGTAAGCGCTAAGCGCTCTCAGCCACAGTAGTGTTCTTGTAACGTGGACTTTGTGTGCAGTTTATACAATGAAGAACTTAATGCTGTTGAAGTATTAGAATAATTTAAGGCAGTATAAGGTTGTACCTTGCTGTCCTTTGAAATAGGGAGCTTTGGAGGTGAGAGCACCCAACCCAGGTTTCATCTTGGTCTGTGAATGTTCAGGGGCTGAAAATTCCTGCACTCTGCCAGCAAAACGTGTTCTGTGGAGTTTTTTCTCTTGCATTTCCTCCCGCTGTCCGATCAGTGCAGTTGCAAACATTGTACTGGTACTCTTTCCTGCACAAGGACCAAGAGCTGCAGTCAGGTCCAAATAAACGTATACAAACCTGCAGCGGTGCTAAACATCTCTTTGCATTAACTGGTAAATGACCTCTCTTTTCCAAAAAGGTGCGCGTCGCTGAGCTCTGCACCTGCTTCACGGAGGCCAGTGCTGCTAACATTTTGATAAACTTGCATTTCAATGCAAAAATGACATCCAAGTTGCTACGTGTAGTGGGAGTTGATGGTTAATCTTTGGTGAGCCACAGACCTTAAAGACATGTAATGTACAATAAAAAAAATCCCCAGAGGAAATGAAATAGTTGAGGATTTATCTAATTGTGTGGGTATCGATCCATCGTAACTCCTTACAAAGAAATGAACTAATCCCTGGTTATTCACTTGGCTGTCCCACTGTAAGAACAAGATGCTCTTTGTTAATGGCCAAGTAAAAAACGCTTGAAATCCTGTTTTCAACATTTTCTTCAGAGCTTGCTTGCAGAACCTTTGTCCATACAGAGTAATTCTGTGCAAGTCCTTAAGGCCCTGTGGGAGAAGACACAGCTCAAGGGGACACACAGTTTTGAAACTGCCATGATCCAGTCTACATTTCCACACCAAAAGGTAAGCTTTTATTTTTTCTGAGGGAAAAAAAAAAAAAAGTAGATGAACTTTGCCCTGACTTTTAGAACAGCTGTACAAAGACCTTTACAATAGCTACAGCAAGTCTTTGCTGTGCTGAAATCGTGAAAAGCAAACCCTCTTTCACTGTTCCTGCCCCTTCCCCTTCTTTGCCTTCGCTCCGGCGTCTTCCGAGCATTTGCACTCACTGCCACGCCAGGTCCTCTTCTCCAGGCTGGCCGTACGGTGATCCATAGCGCGTGCCTCTGACCTCCCTTTTATATGAAGCTCTTGGCTCGTGGGGAGGTTGAAAACTGTTCACTAGCCATTACATTTTCAACCTCCGCAGAGGGTCCGCAGTGTTGTTTTGTATGGTGCTTTGAAAGGTCTCCAGCCTTGTTCTCCACCCTCTCCTAATGCTTCACAGGGATTGTTCCCGATGTGATGAAAACGGGGGATGCTACATATGGATTTTTTTTTTTTTTTTCCCTGCTCGCAGTTTCAAACTTTAGGTTCCGATTAGCTGCCACTATGGGCTGTTTGGCAGGCACTTGGAAATTCATCTAGTTAAACGCAGACTTGGATTTTATGGAAATGATCATTTGCACATGCACCATTAGTTACCCCATCAGACTAAAAGATTACTCTTTCAAAGCTGTTTACTGTCTCCGGGATTTCAGCAAATGCTATTTCAAAGCTATTAATCAGGCTTCTTGGAAAAGGACGCTGTAGGATTGTAAAGCAAATATCTATTTATTCCTGAACATCTCTATCCAGCTCAATTGGATGAAATGAATTGTCAAACATGATTTTAAAATACTCTCTCTCAGAATATTGTACGCGTGAAGATGTCTGACTGAATACGATTAATTTACTAGGGTTATGGGTGATTTAAAAACAGGAGTTTTGTTAGAAACACCTTCTGAACCCCCAAGATAATGTTGCATTGAAGTGGGAACTCCTGCTGCGGCTCGTAAGAGGAGTAGAGGATCCCCACATCTGAGACCCAGTTTATGGGCCAGCCTTACTTAGACACACTGGAGCTTGCACTAAGTATTTTAGCTGTTATTGAAATCCTGGCCTGACTCACCCGAAGGCATTAGAACTGCTTTTCTGTTCAATACTGGCTTAACTTGAGTCCGCGCCAAGATCTCCTAGTCAAAAGTGGGAGCTGGTGGAGTATAAAGGAGTTTGGGGTGAATAAAGAGCTTAGGAAGGAGCCTGCCTTCATGGGCAGGATTAGATGTAGTGCATCATGCACACAAAGTCTACAAAACATCTCCACCGCCCTAGAAATGTGATTAGTCTCCAGCGCATCGGTTGCATAATCCTACTACTGCTCAGATACCAGCGTTTCGCCTATTTTGGGAACTTTCATCACTCCACGACAGTAACAGTATCTCTGAGTTCCCAAAATAGCAGAGCTGGAAAATGAGATACCGATCTTCACTGGTTTAATGGATTAAGCAGTGAATTGGCGTTTGGAAACTCCGGGAGCTGCGGATTGCCTAACAGCCTTCGGAGGCTGCAGACAGCCAGGCAGATGTATTGCATCTGAACTGGTAAAGGACTTTCCTATTCAGTCTTGGTCTCCGCGGTACGCTGCTGGATTTACTTTCTCAGGTTTGGTTTTGCTTCTTAATACAAAACCCGAGTTTGTTTCTAGTGCAATCCCCTTCAGTTTGCTGAGAGGAGTCCCACTGGGAGCGAGACCCAGGCCTGCCGTAAGGAAGGTTTCCTTTAGCTTTTACGTTCCAAAAAATGTAGCTGGAGCATTCCTGGCATGACCTAGTCCTTACTTTGCTTGACAGACTAAGCTTCTGCCATAATCTGAATTTTTCGTTTCAGAAGTTCTTCCCATTGCTAATAGAACTTAAAATATTGTGAATTAATTGGCAAAAGTATTGCAGTCGTTAACATTATTCCTCTGCCAGTAGTGCAGGAAGCAAAATTATGGAGGTGTGGTTGTTTCAACAAGCGTAGCACTTTTCAATTGAAATGTTTTGAAATCTGTTGATGTAAATGCAGCCTCAATGTCACGTATTATATTCTGTATTAAGTTTTATGCGTTGCGTTACAGCAATGTCTGAATGCTTTGTCAGAATTGAGGAATTTCTGTGCGGTGAGCACGTGGGGAAGGTCCGACCCCAGCAGCCAACAGGAACTGCAGCAAAGCCGGTGCTGGAACGCTGCGATCACTCCGCATTCTGCCCCGTGACCCTGTGGCTAATCCAGAATAAATGAACTTTGACTTTTTTTTCAATATGTATTCTAAAGCATTTTGCAAACCTGGAGAAAAATCTATTACATCAATGGTTTATTCCAGAGTAAATTCTGAGAAATGTTTTCAGATTTACATCACTGTAAGCAGTTTCTGATTTTGGCCCAGGATGCGTGTGCAAGGAATTGCAGCAAATACCTGGCCTACAGAAAGCATGTCGTGTTTCGCAGGGCAGCCTGTTCGTGCCACAAAAAATATTTATACAACATGGCTTAAGATATGCCAGAAGCAAAGCATTTCCAGATGTACATCCTTACAGATTTCCGTTCAGTTGCTTCATAGTTCTTTATCAAAGTACATGCAGGCCACATTACAAAAACTAAGCCGGTTTTGAGCTCGTTGCTGAATTCTTTGTGTTGACTCATGCTGTGTCAGAAGCGTGAGATGGTGACTACTTTATGAGCCCCATGTGATGCCTTAAGAGAGTCTTTTGTTGAGCAGTCTTGCAAGAGAATAATTAGCATTTTTAAGCCATTGTTAGTTCTGTTCTTCCCTTTCCTTACTTTGCTATCTCAGTTTACGCAGCAGAAAGAAGCGCCATGTTTTCACAATGGAGTCACTGAAGTTTTCAAGATGTTGGAGCATGGGGACAAGATAAATCTCTCCTCTCCAGTTAGGCTTTTTCCCCATGCTTCCCCTCCTGAAATAAGTGGCTTACCACACATTATTTCAAGCGTACTAGAGCACAGAGTGGAAAAGAAAGATTGCTGCAGTGGTATTTCAGTGATATTTGTTCTCTTTCAGCCTAGAGTTGGCTCATTGCAGCCACTAACAGATTTTTTTCACAGGATGGAGAAGCTCCTAGGCTTTCTGTTCTGCGTGACCCACGTGCCCTTATGTCCTGAGCAGACCCTCTGGGAGCAGTACCACCGTTATTTTGCCCATCTTGTGTCCTCCCAGATGCCACACCAGGAGGAGGATCAGGGCACATCGGGCAGGGTGCCTTGCTGGCCATCCTCTGCTCTGCCGTCCGCTGCTCGCAGGGACATCTGCCTTTCCATCGGGAGCCTCCAGCGGGCAGGAGTGGTCTGTCCCTCCTGAGGACTTGGCTGTCCTGCCCAGGGAGGCTCTGCTCGGCATCCCGCACCACGCACGACGTATCTGAAGGGAGGCGGGGAGCCTCAGACTGTCACATCCACTATCCACGGACT